TTGGTGGTCTTGTATGCTGCAAGCAAGGTATGACTAGAGAATGAAAGCACCAAATACATAGAAATACCTCATTACATCAAGCAACCGACTAAGTAGCTGGAGGCTCGAAAGTCCTGGTTTGCTAAACAAACTGATGGCTCACACTGACAGTGGAGGTTCTTATTAAAAAAAAGTGTGTATTTTCTTCATATCTTTTTTATGTCTGATAAAAATGAGATCCTTGGCAGAAAAAAAAACCAGAAAATTATAGATTTTAAAATCATTAATTCAAACACTGTTGCAGAAATAGTAGTCCCAGAAAAAAGGTATAAGATACCTCGAACAAGTATTGAAAGGTTCCCAAATCTACCCCCAAATATAGCAAATCGTACAATGTAAATGTCCTGATATAACTCAAATTAAAATTACAAGTAAATTAGCATCGTCTTCCCATTCGTCCTTTTCTTGTAGAGCCAGACTAATGTTGTTGCAAGCGGTGGCCCTACAATCAGTGCAATGGTGTTGCGCACGTGAGACCACGTATCCTGCAAGAGCCGATGTTTGTGCTGAAAGGATTCTTGTACAAAATCTTACAATTACACCGTATATACTTCAATAACTCTGGAACGGGGTCTACATCGGTAAGAACTGGGACTAAAGTACTGTTTTTCATTTCCCAACACAAGCTGCAAGGATTAAGTTGGCTATGATTTAAACTTTTCAAAATCGTAAGACGGAGTCTGTCTATATTTCTGAGATGAGGTATTATGTACATTATTTAATTCGGACTATTGCCTTCGTCTTTTCGATCTAATTGTTTCGGGCTGTCCGGCCTTCTTCAATAATGTCGAACCGAACCATTATAATGGGGGATGTTTCTAGTTCCACATTGATGGATGTCAACGCCTATTATTTAACTTTGCCATGTGTCGCGCCCAGATGTCCTTCTGGGACACACATGGTGTGGATAAAGGTGTTGGTTAGATCCAGTTCCAAAGAGTGTAAAGTTCAATACCCGGTTCAGGCAGTGGAAAAGTTTGAGAGAGAAATTAACAGGTGATAACTGATAACTGACATCCATTAAACATGGCACGTGGAACTAGAACAGTCTATACCAGTGAGCGAAATAAAGGGTTCGGTTCGACATCCAACCACCTGAAGAAGGCCGGAGCGTACAAGGGCCGAAACATTGTGATAGATATGGCGAAAAAGATGAGGACAATAGTCCGAATAATGTATATAATGTATAAGACAGATATGGAAACTGTGGAACAAAGCTGAATGTTCAATTTGAGGCAGTTTTTCAGACTGTAACTTCTTCGTCGACGTTGCGGCATACTCCATATACTTGAAGTACCCGAGGGAGTTCAATGTATAGTCTGATTTTCCTCCATTTTTTCTTTCTGTATGCCGTATTCTTTCAGGGCGTAGACGATCATGGCTCTCTACCTCCCTCTATCCCTTGCAGCTCTCAACAAGTTCTTTCCCTCTGCTGCCTCCCCAAGACCACGTTCTGTAATCTACTTGCTTAAGGCCGCCAGATATGTCATGCATTGTTTTCCTTTGTCTCTCGTTCCCTCTATTCGACCCGTGAGTATCAGATTCTACAGGCTCTCCTTCTTCATTATGGGTTCCAAAAACTTCAGCTGCGTCTTCCTGGTGTTAAAAATAATCTTCCTACTTATTAGCATGCTCCCTAAGACTTCATCGTTGCTTACACGCTTGATCCATGATATCCTCAGCATCCTTCTCTAGAACCATATCTCCGTCACCTCGAGTCTCTTCTTCATCTTTGAGATAATTGTCCAATATTCGCTGCCGTAAAGAAGGAGAAATGTCTCGTAACAGCCCCGTATTCTTTTCTCTGTTACCAAAGAGATCCTCCTGTCTCGCTATACTCTGCCCAGCTTTTGGAATGCGTCCTTGCCCATCCCAATACGTCTACGGATCTCAATGACGCAATTACCATCCTTATTTTAAGTATAAGCCTCCTCTTTGTTTGCATCCTTCTAAGACCTCATCATTGCTCACTCGCGCGGTCCATGATATCCTTAGCATCCTTCTGTAAAAGCACATCTCTGTCACCTCAAGTCTTTTCTTCATCTTTGAGGAAATCGTCCAGCATTCGCTGCCGTAAAGAAGTACAAATGTCACGTAACAGCTCAGTATTCTTTTCTTTGTTACCAAAGATATCCTCCTGTCTCGCAATACTCTGTCCAGCTTTTGGAAAGCGTGCTTGGCCATCCCAATACGTCTACGGGTTCCAGTGTCCCACTTACAGTCATGATGTTAAGTATAAGCCTACTCCTTGTTTGCATCCTATCTGAGACATCTTCATTGCTCACACATTCTGGCCATGAAATCCCAAGAATCCTTCTATAGAACCACGTCTCCGTCGCATCGAGTCTCTTCTTCATCTTTGAGGAAATCGTCCAGCATTCGCTGCCGTAAAGAAGGACAGATGCCACGTTACATCTCAGTATCCTTTTCTTTGTTACCAAAGAAATCCTCCTGTCTTGCAATGATCTGCGCAGCTTTTTGACAAAAGGCTGCAATCCCCCATATGCATCTTGGTCAGCAGAAGCGGTTGCATAATGTAAAGTAGCGCAAAAAGTATGGATGTCTTTTGATTTAATGAATAAGCCTGGATATCTCACATTTCCCACGCCCAAATACAGTTGACTCACATCCACACTATCCGTGGATGTCTGGCAAATATTCCAGGACGTAGGAGCTTATCTTTTCTGCATTTTCCCTCGGAAAGCATATTGATGTCAGCTATGTCTGGATGAAAGTAAAAAAGAAAAAGAACAAGGAAGTCTGTGTCATTAGCTATTACAGCCATTAAAGGCCCTTCAGTAGAATAGTTCGAGCGTTACAGAAACAATGTTCGTGTCTGTGTCTCTCTCATTTTGAACCACCCGATGGCCATCTGTTTCCAAGGAACGACATACGATCTTGACAAATTCATCTTTTCAGTTTGAAGAAGAGCTCTTGATGAACAGCAACTTGAAATCCATCTTCGAGTTGCATGTTTACAGAAGTCTGAGCTGATCTACGCTGACGGTCATTTACTTTTATGGACAGGCTTACATAACTGTGTTGTAGAGTATTTTCACAGTGGAGGCTGGTATTTCAATAAGTCGTCCTAAATTAGGTCCGGCGTACAAAACGTTAGGAACTTGAAATAAGACTTAATGACGCAGCAATCTAGTTGTCATGGTTGATACTTCAATGTACGACATCGACTGACTCACTCAACACCACTGAGCCCAACTGGCGACCGCTAATACTACTACTACCTATTATGTGTGGGAGAGTCTATTAATAATAGAATAGGTACGTTCAAGTATGACAATAACCAAAACAAACGATGCTAGATGGCCCGTAACTGACCCTCAGGTACAGTGCAACCACGTCATTGTATGTCACCCTAGACAACCACTTCACTTGGTAGAGGAGAACATCTCCATCTAATGCAAACATTGTGTCAGTTGGTGGCTGAGATTCGGGTATTTTAGTGGTTAGATGATTTTTCAACACGGTTTTGTTTGTCTTTCTCATTTAAAAATTCTTGAAAATTGAAGTGGGAAATGGAATGAGTTCAAACTTGAAGAACGGAGTTACATCTTCGCATCTTTTCAGCAGAACAACCCTAACCCTAATCTTTGAAAATACAGTCTTAAGGTCAACATGAACATTTTGACCATTAATCTTTTCATATTTTTCCAGTTCAACAAGCAGGTTATTTCTCTGAGAAACTGATGTGGCTGAAATAAACGAGTTGTATAATAATCTGTACTGATGACATTGGCAAATCTTCAGCCATGCAAAGCTGCAAAGAGTGCTCTCTACTCTGATGTATGAATTCAGGAGCAAATTAAAAACAGCAAAGTTATGGCTGTCCTACACTGAAAACATCGACACAACTCTTTATTCGTGTCTAAAGAACAGATGTTACGATTTTTTTGATTTTTTTTTTTTTGATGGTGTAGCGGGTATTTGCAGCAACCGGGTATTTCAATTATGCAAAGAGTGTAAGATTGCACATACAATGGATGCTAGAATTATCTGAATAGCATCCTTGGCTGCATCAACAATTCTTAGAGTACGGGTTAATTCCAAACTAATGAACGCTATATTATTGTTTTTTGTTTTTTTTTTAAATAAATAAATAAACGCACGACGTTGGGTTTAATAGAAAATGAAGTCTTAGCATCTTATGCTTATATATTAGAAATTCCTCTTAAGCACATATGAGGCTGCATAAAAACGACAGACATTTCAATTACCCCCACCGATAAATGTATAACACACTTTCTTCTTCTTCTTCTTCTTCTTCTTCTTCTTCTTCTCTTCCTCCTCCTCCTCCTGATTCTTGTCTACTTTTTCTCCTTCTTCTTCTCCTCCTGCTCCTTCTTCTTCTTCTTCTTCTTCTTCTCCACCTTCTTCTTCTTCTTCTTCCTCCTCCTCCTCCTCCTTATTCTCCTTCTTCTTCTCCTCCTCCTCCTCCTACTCCTTCTCCTTCTTCTTCTCCTCCTCCTCCTTCTTCCTCTTCTTCTTCGGCTTCTTCTCTTCCTCTTCCTCCTCCTTCTTCTTCTACTTCTCCTTCTTCTTCTTCTCGTCCTCCTCCTACTCCTTCTTCTTCTCCTCCTCCTCCTCCACCTTCTTATCCTTCTCTTCCTCCTCCTTCTTCTTCTTCTTCTTCCTCCTCCTCCTCCTCCTCCTTCTTCTACTCCTTCTTCTTCTTCTTCTTCTTCTTCTTCTTCTTCTTCTTCACTTTCTATTACACCCAATGTCGTGCGTTTGTTTATTTTTTTTTAATAATAATAATATAGGACAACGAGGACATCGTAATATTGAAACCAAGGTAGTAGATTCAACCGACCTCCTGATGTTTACAGTTAAAAGCCGTACGTGTTATATTTACTTGTATCTAATTTTGTCACGCGTATTTTGAGCACTTTTTAATACTACTGTTGCCTGGTCTGATTCAACTCTGACCATTAAACTATTATACATTAGATAGATAGATAGATAGATAGATAGATAGATAGATAGAAAAAGAGAGCGAGAGACTAAAAGCAAAAGAAAAATATGCAGAGAAAATAGATAGGTATATAGACAAGTATGGCGCCTTATTTTTTTAAAATATGAATGTATTGTATCATTTAGACATCATAAGTTAGACGGGCATATAAAAAAATATTTATCAATAAACGTATGTATGTGTGTGCATGTGTATTTATATTTCTTTTTGCTAATGCATCTATCTTTTCATGTAGCAGAATGTTTACTTATAATGCAGAACCTGTAAATTGATCAAAGAATTTCAAATATTCGCAGTAGTGTTCATCATTACTTCGACATCCCCTACCCCTCCCGAACTTACATCCAGTTCCCACGCACATAAGCTGTGAAACTACCATATACGATTCCGCCATCTGCATCAGAGGATAGACAATTCTTTCGAAAACATTGCGAAAATAGATGAAAGGCTACGGTATAATTAGCAGGGAAATTAATTAATTAATAATATCGTAATAATTACAAGGCTGATTAACAAGGAAAAGGCTTTGAAAGCTAAGTCCGAAAGAAAACACAGATATTGTAGTGAAGTCAAAAAATTAAAATAAAAAAAACATGAAAAATAGAATCATATGAGAAATAAATAACCTGTATCACTACGGAAACAAAGTTTTAGATTCCGTTGATTACAATCAAAATTAGTTCACTGTTAAAGTGAAATAGAATGTCTTAGTAATTGGAAAGTTCTGACTTTTATTTGGAACTATCATTCTTTTTATATATATATATATATATATATATATATATATATATATATATATATATATATATATTATTGATTGATTGACTAGCCCATTTTCACAGATGACTGCCGTCTTGTCCATCAACACCTACATTCAATCTAAATCAGTGTTTCCACTCGAATGACATCGAAGGTGGCTCTTAAAAACAGAAGCTGCTTTGCAAGGCTTATAATATAGATGACAGATATGCTTCAATGTCTTAACAGAGTTAAGCGGATGTTATGGTAAGTTATCCTTATGCACCACCATATGCCTCTTCAATCCAGATGTCATTCTTTATATATATATATATATATATATATATATATATATATATATATATATATATTATTGGTCCCGGGGCAAGCTTGTAGCTAGGCGGGTATTGTCTGCTGTCCATCACTGCTATTTCTCTGCTCAACTAAGAATTCATTTTGCGAGTCTTTCTGGCTTTTCCTCCATCCGTAAGGATCCTCTTCCTCCCCATCATGTTTCTTCCGTGATTTATTCTTTTAAATGTGGTTGCGGTAGCAACTACATAAGAAGGACTTCCCAACGTTTAGACTGTAGGATCAGGCAGCATGTCCCATTGCGAGTTCTTAATCTGGATGCCCGTAAGAGCCAGTTGGTTAATACTTCCGGGTCAGCGATCACTGAACATTTGATAAATTGCAGGGATTGTGCGAAGAACTTCAGTCCGAATTGGTTTACTGTACTGTCCAGTTCGCACTCTCCATTTCCATTTCATTTGAGGGCACTCTTTGCAAGAGTCCTAGTGTTTATCTCTAGTGTTTATCCCATCCCATCACTCCTCATTTTTTTCCTTTGTTCTGTGCATTTTTGCGCGGTTTTTAAATATACCTTCTTTTTTTTTCCTCATGCCAATAATTCATTTCATTTTTTATGTTTTAATTGTATGTAGGGTGTTTGTGTCAGTCAATATATATTGCAATAATTGTTAAATTGTTCCCAGTCAACCCTGATGAGCTTGGGAACGAAACCGGTTGGTCTGTTCTGTAAGGGTTATCATCTCTTATTATTTATTTTTCATAATGCCTTTAGGAAATAATTTGTATCTATTCCTTGCAATATTACGGTTCTTTAGCTCCAACAATTTATTTATAATATATATATATATATATATATATATATATATATATATATATATAATATGATTGATTGATTGACTAGCTCATCTTCACAGATGACTGCCGTCTTGTCCATCAACACCTACATTCAATCTAAATCATTGTTTCCTCTCGAATGACATCGAAGGTGGCTCTTCAAACCACAAGGCTTATAGTATAGACGAGAGATATGCTTCAGTGTCTTAACAGAGTTAAGAAGATGTTGTGGTAGGTTATCCTTATGCACCACCATATGCCTCTTCAATCCAGATGTCGATTGTTCGCATACTTCCCTTCAGATCACACATCTAGTAACACCGGGTCGTGGAGATAACTCAGAGTGAGGTCGTCTCTCATGCGATTTTAGATGAGTAGCATACCCAGCTTTTGACTAGGATGCGACCACATGTCCCGCATATCCAGCTTGCTGTGTTGTGATCCAAGATCCTGATAATATAGGATATATATTGTTGAGGGGCCCCCCACTTTTTACACAAATGGACTCACCCAGTATATACATATACTACGGCTACGTGAAGACCCGGAAGCAAGACCGGGGAGTCGAGTCGAGTCCAGAGTGACAGAGTAAAAGGTTGTAGGTAACCGGAAGAGTGAGGGTGAGGTAACAGCGTTGTAGAAGTCACAGTGAGCGAGCACGTAGACTCAGTAAGAAGTCATACAGTGATATTTCAATACCAAAGTCTGTATAGATATTTTGCTACTAACCCGTATTCCTGGATCTACTAAACTGCTTTACCAGTTTGTATTATTACATTAATACATTATTTTCATATATTCATTCCGGACGTTTGGTATTTATTTGGTACCGGATTTCAACCCGAATTCTCAACATATCTATCTATCTATCTATCTATCTATATATATATATATATATATATATATATATATATATATATATAAAACAATGATAGTTCCAAATAAAAGTCAAAACTTTCCAATTACTAAGACATTGTATACCATATATATATATATATATATATATATATATATATATATATATAATATATTCAAATATATATTAAATATACCAGATAACGAAAGTCTATTATGTTTGGACATGAGCCGTTCTAAGCTGCATATAGTTGCGTTGATTTCGGGAGAAAATAAAGAAAAATGACTATTTTTTTATTATGCTGTTCATTGATCAAAGTTTACGGTTCACTTCAAACATAACAGATATTCGTTGTCTGTTATATTTAACAATATATATTTGACTAAAGATCTGATGTCCCAATACAGTATATATATATATATATATATATATATATATATATATATATATATATATATATATATATATATATATATAATGGACTCTCCTGTCGGTTTCGACGTATGACTATCTGGGAGCATATTGATTCAGTTATGAAAGCTTGTGATAATCTTAAGTGGCATTTAAGACCCGCTAGTTATTTACATAAGAGGCCACATATGTAGCTAGTGTTGGGATTGTGAAATGAGATAACTGTTAGATTGGCTGACCTCTTAGATCTTGCTCTTGCTTCTTGAAGCTGATTGAGACAAGCAGATTGAAAATTGCTGAGTCCACTAAAACACGTTGATCTCCAGTCTACCCGCCGCAAACCTAGCGCTCAAGGTTGTTATGTATATATATATATAATATATATATATATATATATATATATATATATATATATATATATATGTGTGTGTTTTATATATATGTGTGTATATAGAATTTTTATGTTTGATTAAGTTTGATTAAGACCAACTTAAAATGTATGCATATATAATTTTGTATGCGATTTTCCTATTTTCGAATAACATGTTTATGTCCTATTTAAATATACCACTCAATATCAGAGATAAAACGTATGTGAATATAAAAGTGAACATCGGAGTCAACATTTAAGGCCGACAGATTGTTTCATGCTAAACGCAATCGCCACACTCACTAATGGAATCGGAAGGATACAAAAATAAATGGCGTTATGGTCGAGATGAATAAAAGAGGACAAAAACTAGCTGGAGAAGTTTAGAATCTCAAAATGGGCCATAAAAAACGGAATGCCGGGAAACAGGCCGGGAACAAAACTTATTCACATTAACTAGGAAATCATAACAGTGTCTAACTTAACCAGGGAATGGTTCACAAGAAAACACCCCGCTGCATGAAGGGGACTTAAAAGAGAAAATCAAGGCTATCTCCGTCCACACGAACCAGGCTCGCCTCAGTCACCCACCTTTCGCTGAAATCTTTCATAATGAAGCGCTTTCTATCAGATCTAATTTTTACCCTAAATAGATGATTACAGAAAGCAACCCGATCATGATGCGAAAAACGTTCATTTCGGAAGATTTCCTCTTTTCACGACGTCCATACCACCATTCTAGCCACGGCTAGCAACATAAAAAAGTACCATCCGTTTTACTCCGCAGAACGAGGACGACACATTGTTACACGCGTACGCTAGATCAATGGACACGAGCTGATCGGGATCGATACGCGCCGTCAACTTGCCGGCATAATGCCAGAAGGGTCGCGCCTGGGGACAATGGTAGAAGGCGTGCGAAACCGTTTCCCCGAAGCCAAGGTCACAACGATGACACTCTGGCAAATCTGCCTCGACCCGTCTGAAGGTTACGTCATTGAGAGGTAGCATGTTCCGAATCAACTGCCAGCTAAGCGAAAACTTAGACTTGTTGAGATAATCCGTCGCTGGTTTTCAAACAGATTGCGAGAGAAATAAAGATAGAGATAAAGAAAAAGATTGAAATAGGGAGAGAATGAGGTAAAGAAAGAGAATGAGAGGGACTAGAAAGACTGAGATAAAGATAAGTATAGAGATAGAGAGAGAGTGAAAAAATAAAGAAAGATAAACAAAGAGTGGTATCATGAAAGAGAACGATAGAGAGAAAAGAAAAACAGTAATAAAGAATTGATAAAGCGAGTTCGTGGGAAAAGGCAGAGATAAAGAAAGATATGGACATATATAAAGAGAAACGAACAGACAGAGAGAGAGAGAGAGAGAGAGAGAAAGAGATAAATAACGAAGGTGATATTGAAAGTCTAATAGAAACGAAGACATAGTTAAAGAACGACAGATAAATGCAAGAGAAAGAGAGAAACAGAGAAATGACAGAGAGTAATAAAGAAAGAGACAAAAGAAAGGAAAAAGACGAAATATAAGAGGGGAAAAGAAAGAGAGATAAATGAAAAGAGAAAGAAAACATATGTAAGAGGGGGGTAAATAAAAGAAAAGAAAGACGATAAATGAAAGGAGAGGGACAAACAAATGTGAAAAGGACAGAGGAATAAAAAAGACATAAAAGGAGATAAAAAAAGACAGAAATGTAAGAAAAGAAAGACGAAAGAAAAGACAAAAGAAAAGAGAGGAATAAGAAAGGGATAAAGAAAAGAAAGACGATAAATGAAAAAAGAAAGAAAGATAAATGAAAAAGAAAGAGAGAAACAGAGAAATGACAGAGAGTAATAAAGAAAGAGACATAAAGAAATGAGAAGAAAAAAGACGGGGAAATGTAAGAGGGGGGTAAAGAAAGAGAGATAAATGAAAGAGAAAGACAAACATATGTAGGAGGGGAATAAGAAAGGGAGATAAATAAAAAAGAAAAAAAGACGGAGAAAAGAAAGGAGAGGATAAAGAAAGAAAGATAAATGAAAGGAAAGAGAAAAGAGAAATGACAGAAATAAAAGAAAGAGACATAAAGAAAAGAAAAAAAAAGACGGGAAATGTAAAGGGGGGTAAAGAAAGAGAGATAAATGAAAAAGACAAAAGATATGTAGGAGGGGAATATGAAAGGAGAGATAAATAAAAGAAAAGAAAAGACATAAATAAAGAAAGAAAAGATAAATGAAAAGAAAGAGAGAAATAGAGAATGACAGAGAGGAAAAGAGAAAAAAGACGGGGAAATGTAAGAGGGGGGTAAAGAAAGAGAGATAAATGAAAGAGAAAGACAAAGATATGTAGGAGGGGAATAAGAAAGGGAGATAAATAAAAGAGAAAGAAAGAAGGAGAAAGGAGAGGAAAAGATAAATGAAAAAGAAAAAAAACAGAGAGAATGAAATGAAAAGAAAGAGAGAAACAGAGAAAAAAACACGGGGAAATGACAGAGAGTAATAAAAAGAAAGAAAGACAAAGATAAAGGGGAAAAGAAAGAGAAAATAAAGAGAAAGAAAAAAAAAGGAGAGGGGAAATGATAAATGAAAGGGGGTAAACAGAAAATGAGAGAGTAAAAAGAAAGAGAGAAAAGAGAAGAAAAAAGATAAATGTAAAGGGGGGTAAAGGAGATAAATGAAAAGAAAGGACAAAGAGATAAATAAGAAAGAGAAAATAAAGACGGAGACGGAAAAGAAAGGAGAGGGATAAAGAAAGAAAGATAAATGAAAAAGAAAGAGAGAAACAGAGAAATGACAGAGAGTAATAAAGAAAGAGACATAAAGAAAAGAGAAGAAAAAAGACGGGGAAATGTAAGAGGGGGGTAAAGAAAGAGAGATAAATGAAAGAGAAAGACAAAGATATGTAGGAGGGGAATATGAAAGGAGAGATAAATAAAAGAGAAAGAAAGACGGAGAAAGAAAGGAGAGGGATAAAGAAAGAAAGATAAATGAAAAAGAAAACAGAGAAATGATAAATAAAAAAGAAACAGAAACAGAAGAAAAAGACGAAATGTAATAAAAAAAAGAGAGATAAATAAAGAAAAGACAAAGATAAAGGGGAAAAGAAAGGGAGATAAATAAAAGAGAGAAAAGACGGAGAAAGAAATAAAGGATAAAGAAAGAAAGATAAATGAAAAAAGAAAAAGAGAAACAGAGAAAAAGAACAGAGAGTAATAAAGAAAGAGACATAAAGAAAAGAAAAGAAAAAGAAAATGTAAGGGGGGGGTAAAGAAAGAAAAATGAAAGAAAAGAAAAGAAAGGAGAATAAAAGAAAGGAGATAAATAAAAGAAAAAAGACGGAGAAAGAAAGGAGGGATAAAGAAAGAAAGAAAATGAAAAATAAAGAGAGAGAAACAGAGAAATGACAGAGAGAATAAAGAAAGAGACATAAAGAAAAGAGAAGAAAAAAGACGGGGAAATGTAAGAGGGGGATAAAGAAAGAGAGATAAATGAAAGAGAAAGACAAAGATATGTATGAGGGGAATAAGAAAGGGGAGATAAATAAAAGAGAAAGAAAGACGGAGAAAGAAATGAGAGGGATAAAGAAAGAAAGATAAATGAAAAAGAAAGAGAGAAACAGAGAAATGACAGAGAGTAATAAAGAAAGAGACATAAAGAAAAGAGAAGAAAAAAGACGGGGAAATGTAAGAGGGGGATAAAGAAAGAGAGATAAATGAAAGAGAAAGACAAAGATATGTAGGAGGGGAATAAGAAAGGGGAGATAAATAAAAGAGAAAGAAAGACGGAGAAAGAAAGGAGAGGAATAAAGAAAGAAAGATAAATGAAAGAGAAAGAGAAAGGCAGAGAGATGAAAGCCTAAAGAAAGAGATAAAAATGAAAGGGTAAGAAAAAGACGTGAATATACTCGAGAGAGATAAATGACAGAGAAAGAAAAAGACAGATAAATGAAAGCGAGAGGTAAAGAAATAGAGGTCAATGATAGAAAAAGAGAAAGTGAGAGAAATAGAGAGATAAATAAAAAGAGGTGAATAAAAAAAAAGAAAGATAAAGACAGAACAATGAAAGAAAGTGATAAAGAAAGTGAGATAGATGAAAGAGAAAGAGAAAGATAAATGAAAGGGTGAGATTAATAAAATGAGATAAATCAAAGAGAAAGAAAAGGACAGTGCATTGAAAGAGGCTGATAAATAAATAGGGATAGATGAAAAAGAAAGACACAGCAATGAAGGAGAGGCATAAAGAAAGAGTGTTAAATGAAGGAGAAAGATAAAGACAGATAAATAAAAGAGACGGATAAAGAAAGAAAAATGAATGAAAGAGAAAGCCAAAGATATGAAAGAGAGGGATAAAGAGATAATGGTAATATATTTTGCAATACTTTCTTAACATCCATGAAAATATTGCATTATCACTAATCTACCTACGTCATCAAAGATGGCGGTTTCTGCTTAGTTTTTATGTGCGTCTGATTTCCGCATGCGTGTCTTTAAATGTATTTGTACGAATTATGAAATAAATATGTCGTATTTCATTTCGAAGATAAGATTAATACTTACGAACAACAGAAATCGATCCCTCCTTCATATCTATTCGAATATTGTATTAATAACAACTGACGCCATCAAAGATTATATTATTGCATTATTTCTAACTAAAGTTCTCAACTTTGTTGATATAGATGTAATTACTGACAAAAGGCTTCGATCTAGTGCCCTCTTGTCATCATCAGGTGTTCATGGATTGGCTGATTTGGGATATTAATAATTGTGCTATTATTTTCTATGATACCAGTCATTATTTGTCACTGATGAATTGACGCTTCATTCCCTTATCCAAGGATTGAACTCCTGACGACTAGATTGTAATAACACATGTATAACCAACGACTATATCCACTACGCCAATATTCCAGTGGTAATTGTCCGGACTCGTTTTCGAACCTGTTACAGTCAATGTCAGATAATTATTGTTTTTTTTTTTTAAATTTTTTGACAGTTGACTATGATGACGGGTAATTACTGCTTTTCATAAATGTAACAGTTTTATCCATTAAAACTAAGTAAGTGTATCATACAAGCCAAAGAAAATCAAAGTAATAAGTAAATATAATAAGTTAACATTATTACAAAGTAAGATTTGTGTTTACACGGAAAAGGGATACAGTGAAGTGGTTATAGTGACTTTATATAGACTTCAAAGAAATAAAAATAAACATAGGCATGAGTTTAAGAATTTTTTGTTTTTCTTGGTTATGAAGCAATCTCAGGATGCTTCTGCTGAATTTTTAAAAGCATTTCACCCCTAAGAAAGGCGTGAGTGCCACTAAAACGCAAGGGGTTACAGGGCGTGAGAGTAAGATTAAAGAGAGATGTTTGAGGAAAGGATAAAGAAAAGTACGGAAATCAAGATCAAGGTATCAGAAGATGTCTATTGACATTACATTTGAATATTTGAAGATTACCGCCATCAGAGAAGCAAGTAAGAAGAAAGGAGTTCCACAGCAGGGAAATGCGAAAGAAGAAGCCGTTGGTGCAGAAGGGGCGGTTACATTTACGTCTTTCGGCAGTGAAAGCGTGGGACTGAGATGCCAACCTAGTAGAACGCTTAAATTCATGAGGTTTGGGGTACGAGTGAAACTAGCTCGTCAGAGCAGCAGCCATGAAAAAAATTGTAGAAAAGATAGAGGGAAGCCATATCACACTGTGGGATATTGACTGTAGTCGAGATGCGAGGTCAGGACCTATCACATTGCATATACGTCTTTGGATTTTGTCAAGAACCTAAAGATGAACATCGAGTGGCACCAGACCATATATGGTAACAGTATTCAATGCGAAGACGAATGGTAGATTTGTAGATTTGAAGGACTTATCTATAAATTTGTGAAAGTGAAGTTCTTATCGGTTGCTCCGCTCAGATTATAACTGATACCAAATATTTACACACCGACCGCCATTTTTTTTTCAGCTTGCGTTGTATATTTTAAATCGGTCTTTGCGAATAGACTAGAGGCATATAATCAGTTTGTTTCCTTCGCTAAATATCACTGTCGCTCAATTTTTAATTCTCACGTTGCAGATGTTCTTCTTCTTTTTCTTTTCGCCGATTCTTTTGGCTAGTGATGACTTTCCTTCTGTAACGCATCAGTTAAGATTCTTTCATTGAAGTCGACTTCTTATTGTCTGAACTCACATTTCACGAATAATAGTACATGTATCTATTATTTAACGAACCGTTAACACTAGCCGGATATTGATAAGCTGTCTTTGATCTCATTTATCTAATTTCGAAAAGCAGTCTGTTTCTTATTTAGAATTCTCCCCCAAATCACTAGTCTTCTTCTGCTTAACTTGGACAAAGCGCTTCCATATTCCAACCTACTTAACGATACAATCTTTTGGTTGTTTTCTTAGTGTTATTTTTATTTATTTTTTTTTTGGTGGGGTGGGGGGAATTTTCTACTCTGCTCCGAACTGATTTTTTGCATCTCATTAGACCGTATGCAGTGTACTCCAAGTACTTCTGCATTTGTATCATTTACAACGTGTACAGTGTTTTTCGACCTCTGATCACTCATCATATGTACAATGTACATAGTGTAAATAGTTACAATTCCTCATTTATGAAATATATATATATATATATATATATATATAAAGGGTGAAGCATAAATAATTTTTCCCATTTGAAGGACGGGTTCTCGACCACACCAAAACAAAGACAAAAGTTCATATAACCCTATGTTTGCAAAGCCTTCGTTTTTAAGTTTTTAATCTTAACGAAAGTTTACGTAGATGGCGCTGTGTAGCAATGTAGACTAGGTAACATTAGTCATTCGTGTGAATTTGTGTTTAGTCTGCAGATAACGATTAACGTGTAAAGTGGTGAGTTAACTGAGAAGTCTTCCGTCTCCCAATGGCAGAATATTCATAACGTGAGCTGGCAGATATAATTTTTACATACGGCCGTGCGAATGGTAATAGACGCGAGGCTGCACGGCTGTATCAGATTATGTTCCATCCAACCTATGGGGTTGTTTATCGTCAGGCTACTGAGACAGTATCCTTGATACATTCTACAGGAAATCGGAGACGATTTATCTATCAGCACACGTCAATTGACCTAAGCATGTCGTACATCTCCTAAGACCGCATGCAGTGTACTTTAAGTACTTTTGTATTTGCATCATTTACAACGTGTACAGTATATTTCGCCCTCTGATCACTCAGCGATCCGTTGTTTGTCTCTTCAGTCTTGTCTATGGATGAGGCAACATTTGGAAGAGATGGAATGACAAATTTAAACAACTAAAATTTGAGAACGGATTGGAATCCCCATGGTACAATAAAGGCTAGACAATAGTATCAGTTTACAATTAATGTATGAGCTCGAATTATAGGTGACTGTCTGGTAGGTCCATATGATATCCCAGCACATCTTACATGAGCTGTCGTCAGGTGCCATATTTCCTGCTAATGCGAAAAAAAGGGGGCTTCAGCGCGTTTCAATCACAGTGTTCACGATGCACACTATAACATCTACCATGAAAGATGGATAGATAGGTGAGGAGTGGTTCCATGGCCTGCACGTTACCACGACCTCAAACCTTTGGATTTTTATCTGCAGATATAATTTTTACATACGGCCGCGCGAATGGTAATAGACGCGAGGCTGCACGGCTGTATCAGATTATGTTCCAGACCGAAGGCAGCCAAGTCATCCAGTCTGTAGGGCTGTTTATCGTCGGACTGCTGAGACAGTATCCTTGACACATTCTACAAGAAATCAGAGACGATCCATCTATCAGCACTCGTCAAGTGGCCTAAGCATGTCGTATATCTCATTAGACCGCATGCAGTGTACTTTAACTACTTCTGTATTTGTATCATTTGTACAGTGTCTTTTGCCCTCTGATCACTCAGCGCGGGAGAACTTTTCCCAATGGTTTATTGCACAAACTGACGATCCGTTGTTTTTTCTCCTCAGTCTTGTTTACGGATCAGGCAACATTTGGAAGAGATGGAATGACAAATTTAAACAACTAAAATTTTAAAGCGGATTGGAATCGCCATGGCACAATACAGGCTAGATACCAGTATCAGTTTACAATTAATGTGTGGGCTGGAATTATAGGTGACTGTCTGGTAGGTCCATATGCTACCTCAGCACATCTTACATGAGCTGTCTTCAGGTTACATATTTCCAGCTATTGCGAAGACGCATGTGGTTCATTCATGAGGGGGGCTTCAGCACGTTTCAATCACATTGTTCACGGTGCACTCTCTAATATCTAGCACGAAATATGGATAGATAGATGAGGAATGGTTCCATGGATTGCTCGTTACCCCGACCTCAATCCTTTGGATTTTTATCTCTAAGGCCTCCTAAAACTGTTAGGTAATGCAGCATATATTAATAATGCAAACACGCTTCATCAAGATGTCATGGGTGCCTTCGAATGCATTCAACACTGTTTGGGAGTAATTGAATATATTTTCTACTCAGCTCCGAACTGAATATTTAAATAATGGAAATTAAAACAACTTATCTAAGGAGTTGAAGCGTTTATTCTGTTTAACAAGAGAAAATGTGCATACCAGTTTTAATTTCTGAAAACCATTAACATGGAAGAGTAGAATAGGTTATAAATTTTGCATGCCCGATTGCCAGCACCACAATGCATTTGCATTTGAATCTTCCCTGCTTAGAATATGAATGCTACAACCTACAATGCAGTCTTGAATTATATCATTCTTCTATGCGCGGTGTCGCTTTAAGATGTAGGAGATAATGGCTCTCCACAATTACCTAACTTTTGTAGCGCTTAATAAATTTTCACATTTGTTATCTTTAGTAAAACTCGCTCCGCCATCTACAGTGTAACCCGGATATAAGAGAGTTGTCGGGACCGGAGAAGAAGTCTCTTATATCCCGGTTTCTCTTATATCCGGGTTTGGACTATTTTGTTTAGGTAAGTATGGGTTCTAATTTGGGACCAGAGAAAATCTCTCTTATATCCGGGTTTCTCTTATATCCAGGTTTCTCTTATATCCGGGTCTCTTATATCCGGGTTCCACTGTATTTACTCAAACACTCAAGTACTTTATTCATTCTATTCCACTGTCCCTATCCTTCAATATCTACTACTATCAGATTGCCATATTTATTACAACGTTTCAGCCGTTGTGCGCTCCGGCCTTCTTCAGGTGGTTGGAATGTCGAACTGTTCCACATGGCATAGTGGATAAAGGCGTTGGTTAAATCCAGTGACAGGCGCCAAAGGGTGTGAGTTCAATACCGAGTTAAGGCAGTGGAGAACTTGGAGAGGGGAATCAACAGGGAATAACTGATAACTGACATCCATTAAACATGTCACATGGAGCTAGAACAGTCTACCCCAGAGAGCGAAATAAAGGGTTCAGTTCGACATTCCAACCACCTGAAGAAGGCCGGAGCGTACAACGGCCGAAACGTTGTAATAAATATGGCGACAAAGATGAGGACGATAGTCCGAATAATGTAAATGATATATGTGGAAATCTCCACTTTTACCTGAAGACGGTCGCGAGACCAGAAACTCGTGTCGTAAAATTATGTAAAACAAAGCATAATATTTTTTTCTAAATAAATCCACATTACAGCCAAAAACGTTTGCGGCACCTCTCTTCTCTTCTTTTTAATATACATACTTTTCTTTCGTTGGAACCACTACAAAATATTTCTTTTATATATATATATATATATATATATATATATATATATATATATATATATATATATATCTTAGTATATAATGTACACTGATATTTGTGAGCTTTCACTGTATCCGTATACATTGCACACATATTTTCAAGTTCCTCAGTGGCAGTAATTTTTCTTTATATATGCCGTGTCCTTTCACAACGTATGCGATCATGGCTTTCTACTCCACCTCTCCCTTGTAGCTCTCAATAAGTTTCGACCCTATGCCACCTCCCACAGACCACGTTCTGTCATCCACTTGCTTAAGTCTGCCAGTTATGTCATGCATTGCTTTCCCTTGTCTCTCTTTCTCTCTATTCCACCTGTGAGTGTCAGATTTTCCAATCCCTCTTTTCTCATTACCTGTCCAATAAACTTCAGCTGTCTCTTCCCAATGTTAAGTGTAAGCCTCCTCCTTGTTTGCGTCCTCTCGAGGACATCGTCGTTGATCACACGCTCGGTCCAGGATATCATCAGCATCCTCTTTTGAACTACATCTCCGTCGGCTCCAGTTGCTTGTTCATCTTTGAAGAGACCGTGCAACATTCGCTGCCGTTAGAGCTCAGTAATCTTTTCTTTGTTACCAAAGAGATCCTCCTGTCTCTGCCCAGCTTTTGAAATGCGTCCTTGGCCATCCCAATACGTCTACGGCTCTCAGTGTTGCATTTGCCGTCCTTTCTCAAATCACTTCCCAGATATTTAAACCTGCTTGATTCTAGTGTCACCGATGTGCAAATCGCATTTTAGGCTTATCCTTTTACTGATGACCATGCATTCTCTCTTCAGGTAGTTTATGCTTAGTCCTTTCTTCTCGCTCTCCTTAAAACCTCCTACAGGATGTAGCGAAAGTAGTAGTACTAGACATTCTGAATTCATACAGAAATCAAAGGCGGAACATGTTGAAATAAACTCAACCGAATATCTGGTAGAAGTGATATTCCTAAAGACAATATTGTTTTATCATTAACTTGTTCCCATCCTGGGTATGACTATAAACTACATCCGCGTCCTTTGTAAGACGATAAACTACATCTGATCAGGAGGTTTTGAGGAGCGTGGAACCACCTCTTAATTGCTGGTGTTCCCAGGTCCACCCTGACCCGGGGTGGTAGCACCTGTTAAGGTCCCAACTATGGGCAAATAGGTAACCCCCAAATTGAGGTCAAGGCACTATGAAAGTGTAAAAATAGGTCTTAATACCTGAAGGACTTCGTAAAAAAAAAAAATTACTACCATCAATACATTATCAGCAATACATTTTAGGCAAAAAAAAATTTTACCAGCAATCCTTTTTTGAAATAAAATATTATCAGACATAGATTTTTTTTTGAAGGAAAAATATTACTAGCAATACATGTTTGAAAAAAACATATTACCAGCAATAAAACCATTTTCAGCATTAAATAGTCTATTGAGGTTGATATGCTGTAAAACAAACCAAATCAATATAAACCGAGATAGATAGATAGATAGATAGATAGATAGATAGATAGATAGATAGATAGATGAAAAAGATATTACCAGCAATAAACATTTTGTCGGTATTAAATAACCCATTGAGATTGATATGTTGTAAAACTAAACAAACCAATTTGTACTGAGATAGATAGATAGATAGATAGATAGATAGATAGAGAGATGAAAAAAATATTACCAGCAATAAACATTTTGCCGGTATTAGATAACCCATTGAGGTTGATTTGCCGTAAAACAAACCGAATCAATATATACTGAGATAGATAGATAGATAGCTAGCTAGATAGATAGATAGATGAAAAAAATATTACCAGCAATAAACATTTTGCCGGTATTAGATAACCCATTGAGGTTGATATGTTGTAAAAAAAAACAAACCAATATGTACTTAGATAGATAGATAGATAGATAGATAGATAGATAGATAGATAGATAGATAAAAATATTAGCATCAATGAAAATTTTGTCGGTATTAAATAACCTATCGAGGTTGATATGCCGTAAAAGAAAACCATTATATTGTTCCTTGTGTGGATGGTTGATTCATAATTCCCATCGAAGAAATACGTAATTAGCATTACATTAACATTAATAAATTTTCATGTCGAGCCAAAAATAGCGAATTCCTTGCTGACGATGCATGACTCACTTATATTTAAGACACGATGACGCTCTGGCTTGGCATAAATTTAAACCCTTATTCATTTCGATCCCCAATAGTAGGTCTTTAGTAAATTAAATTATTTATGGACACTGAATAAGAAATACCCTGACCAATTCCGTCTGATCGCATGACATTAACCCATTTTTAAAATGGGTGAATATATATCTCTCTGAATATTGTTGGTTCATCAGATAACTTGAGAGAATCAATCCTCATTAGATTACGCCAATTGGTAATTGAGGCAGCCGTGATTTAAATAACAAGAAAAGGTCCCATATTAAAATAACCTTTTAACATTATTTTTCTTCTAATTTTTTCTTCAAATTCCCTGTCTTTTATAGTGTATAGATGATTTTGTCTTTTTGCTACCCCACCCCGACAAAAGTATTTACTCAAGCTCTTTCTTCTTCTTCTTCTTCTTCTTCTTCTTATTATTATTATTATTATTATTTCCTTTGATTTCTGGCGTTTACACATTTCTTTCCGTGTCTCGCCCAGGGACCTAAGGTTAGAAATGGCATCATGACACTTTCCAATTACATAGATAAAGCCCTTCGTAAAGTGTGGGCTGTACTTGTCAGAACAATTTATTGTATCTCCTTGAGGCATGGACTTCCAGGAATCCCTTCAATTAGTCTACTGCAATCTTTTCCAAACAATCCGAGGGCTCCAACTACAACATGGATTGTTGATGTTCCCATATGCCACATTTTCGAGATTTCTATTTCAAGGTCCTTGTATTTTGACAACTTTTTGAATATCTTCAAGGATACATTGCAGTCAGCAGGGACTGCCATATCAATAAGAAGGCACTTTTTTTGTTTGTGGTCTTTAATAACAATGTCTGGTCGGTTGGCTTTGATTATTATTATTATTATTATTATTATTCCTCTTCTTCTATATGCCGTTTTCATTCACGACGTTCATGATTCTCCACAAATACATATCCCTAAGCATCGTCTTACTCCTTACTATCAACCCTGTTCAGATTCTACCATTCATTTACAAAAAAAAACCCGTTAGGTACGTTGCCCGATGCTTCCCCTATTCATTTTATCTTCAGTAAGCCCTATGAGTATAAGAGTCTCCAAGCCGTCTTTCCTCGTTATCTAACTGACCAATTTCATTAACGGAATGATTCAAATTTCTCCTGCAGGTGAGGACGCGTCTTTGTTTCAAAATAATTTCCCGGTTTCTTTATAGCGTGCTTAGTTTCTGGGAGACATCTTTTCACTTCCAAAATTTCGCTTTCATATAATGATAATGAGTGGTGGTCTATGCTGGTGATAGTATTCATAGTTGGGTAATAAAAATCCTGAAGAGAAAATGGACATCTTCTCCCAAGAGTTAGGATTCAAGATAAACCTTTCCAAAACAGAAATAATCTGGAATTTGAATGAAAGCAGCAATGGAAATTATGCTGAATCCGACATAAAAATACAGGATGTGGTAGTAGTAAATACTAAACACTTCAAATAAATCGCTGTATGTCTATGTTATAATATTATGACCAAGTAAATAGTTAAGTAATAACAAAAACCAGGTTTGCAGATATATCGTATATTATGTTGTTCATGATGAAGGTCGTCTTTGAGTATAGAATCCAGAGGTTAGCGGTGAATATTTCGAAGACAGTAGGGAAGCGTTGTTCAGGTCAGAAGTGGATATCCCGGTAAAGTAGCAGAGCAGAACTGTTCCTCTCCGCCTGACAAGCTGGCACTGGACATTCGGATAGAGTAAACAAAATGGCCGCTTTTATACACGACGGATTGAATATTCTACGCCTTCTGATTTGTTAACCTTCTATTGGTGGATATAAAGTGAGTCAAGTCATTAGGGCTAATTCACTAGTTACATATATATATATACACATAAAAACCTGCAACATATTAAACAGTAAGAACACCAGAAGAGTATTAAACGAGTATGTTCCAGGCGTTCAATCAATTCGACTGTTATATTTACCAGCCTCCTCACGAAGTAGATTGTGGCACAAGGCCGAGTTTAATGTGGAACAATACAAGCCTGTAGGCTCGGCCAAATATTCCCCGTAGGCCCCATATAAAACGGGATTGGGTAGCTGTTTCCCGAGACGAGACTCTGTCCTTCGACATAGCCTTGTCTGTGTATCTTCTCTGCCCAGAGACAGAGAATTTGACCAGCACAGCCGAACAGATCTATTCCACTGTTAATATTTAACACCTCCCAACTAGGGATATATGTGGCACAAGGTCGTGTTTAATGTGCGTCACCCAAGCCCGTAGGTTCGGCCAAAAAATCCCCGTAGAATCCGCTTAAACGATTTCGGGTCTGTTTACTTTCCCGGACGAAACTTTACCCTGCGGCAAAGCCTCGTCCGGGTTCCTCTCTGCTCAAGGCAGAGAGTTCGACAGTAAGGAACAGTCTGGTCGACTGTTATATTTAACAGCCACCCGCCACGAGGAATGTATGTGGCACAAGGCTGAGTTTACCGTGGGTTTTTCCGATCCCGTAGGCTCCCTTACAACCCGCATAAACAGGTTCAGGGCCTATCTATCTCCCCAAACGAAACTTTGCCCTTCGGCAAAGCCTCGTCTGGGTTCCTCTCTGCCAAGGCAGTTACGAACAGTCTGGTCGACTGTTAATATTTAACAGACCACTCCCCCCACAAGGGATGTATGTGGTACAAGGTGGAGTATACCGTGGGTTCTCCGAGCCCGTAGGCTCGACCCAAAATAAAATATTCCCTTAGAACCCGCAAAAACGGATTCAGGGACTGTCTACCTCCCCGGACGAAACTTTGCCCTGCAGAAAAGCCTCGTCCGGGGCAGAGAGTTTGACAGTTACGAACAGTCTGGTCGACTGTTATAATTAACAGCCCCAACAATCACCACAACCACCACGAGGGTGCATGTGGCACAAAGCCGGTTTGTTGTCTGTATTCAGAGCCCGTAGGCTCGGCCAAGAATATCTCCTTTGAACCCACCTAAACGGGTTCAGGGACTGTCTACCTCCCGGACGAAACTTTGCCCTGCGTCAAAACCTCGTCCGGGTTCCTCTCCCTCGATGCGGAGAGTTTGACACCAATGAACAGTCTGGTCGACTGTTATATTTAACAGTCCCCCCACATGGAATGTAAATGACACAAGGCCGAGTTTAACGTGGGTTTCTCCGAGCCCGTAGGCTCGGCCAAAAATATTCCCTTTGAACCCGTATAAACGGGTTCAGGGACTGTCTACCTCCCCCGGACGAAACTTTGCCCTTCGGCAAAGCTTCGTCCGGGTTCCTCTCTGCCGAGGCAGAGAGGTCGACAGCAACGAACAGTTAGGTCCACTGTTCCGCGAAGCATTCTGTTCTATTTATCTCATAGTAGACAGAGGAGTCTAACATAGAGTCTTTAGTAGGAGGACACCCCAACATATAACAAATTTAGTATCGGAGAAAATCACGACTCAAAAAATATAAACTTATAGATTCAGATAGAATCTTTTATATGGACGTCATGTATTGCTCCAAACTCATGAAAAACTTCTAGACTGTCAGTGGTATACAAATGCTTTCTACGCCCAAAGGTTAAAAATGGCAAATATGAACCATCTTCTAACATTATGCTAATCACAAAGAACGGTGCCAAATGACAGAAACTGCATCATTTGAGGACTATCAACAGTTGCAATAACTAAACTGGCTAACAGATATAAGTAGAAGCGTAAAAAAAATGGCATAAACAAGATCAGAACATTCAACCTTATTTCAAATACAAAGTTAGAAAGAAAACCACAGTCAATATATAAAACAGGCGATAACATCGCTTGAAATAACGATAGAAGCTATTGGACATGAAAAACGTATTTTCATCGAATAACTGATGGTCTTGGCAACGGGAGGCACGGATTCACAAACAAACAACAGATCCAGAACAACTTGGAGACTACCAACAGAAGCAAAACTAAAATGGATAGCGCATGTAACTCGAAAAGAAAATAATGACCTAATCAAGACGTTGACATTACACAGTACTTCAGACAAGTGGTTAGAAAGGAAAGCACCCTCAGTACTGGAAAGAACTATAACAGCTACTGGATGTGATATATCTGTTTTCCTAAGTGATGGTGGTAAGCGAAAGATATAAATTTCAATACGAAAACAGTACTGGCTACTCGGTCAATAAATACCAAATGTTTCCTTTCAGGAAACAACTAATACAACTATTACAATTACTATCTATCTATCTATCTATCTATCTATCTATCTATCTATATATATATATATATATATATATATATATATATATATATATATATCCCCCAATCTGTTTATATCTATCTATCTATCTATCTATCTATCTATCTATCTATTTCAACAGCAGTAACAACTAAAATGGAGTGGACATGTACCTGCAACAGAAAATGTTGATATAATAAAGATGTTGCCATTCCACACTACTTCAAATAAAAGGTTAGGAAGGAAACCCTCAATATTTGAAGGAGCCATAAGTGTAACTGGATTTGATAAACCTGTTTTTCCTAAAAAGTTTCTTTTAAGAGAAATTTTTTTAAAATTTCATTCGAAACAGTACAGCCTACTCTCTCAATGAATACCAAATATATCCTTGCAGGAAGACAGCTCATATGACTATTACAATCTCTATCTATCTATCTATCTATCTATCTATCTATCTATCTATCTATCTCTTTTTGCCTGTTCATATCAATCTATCTTGATCTGTTCATATCTATCTATCTATCTATCTATCTATCTATCTATCTATCTATCTATCTATCTCCTTCAACTACTAAAATGGAGTGGATATGTACCTGCAACAGAAAATGTTGATATAATCAAGATGTTGACATTCCACACTACTTCAAATAAAAGGTTAGGAAGGAAACCCTCCATACTAGAAGGAGAGTTAAGTGCAACTGGACTTGAGGAAACCGGTTTTGCAAAAAATTATTTTAAGGGAACAATTTAATAAATTTCAACCGAAAGCAGTACTGGATGCTACGACAGTGAATGCAAAATGTTTCCTTATATGGAAACGGCAATATGGCCAGAACCATTGCCAATGAGTAGCCGGATTTAAAATTGAAAACAAATAACTGCTTGCTTTGTCCTCATCGGTTATAAAAGTGTTCACTGAAATTTCTTTTCAGGATAATAGAAAATAATAATCTTAAAACTCAGGTGATGTTGACAGAATTGGACTTCCTTTGTTCGGATTCGTAAACATTGTCCTGATTCTGACAGTTGGCTTTTTGCCAACAACACGGCTACTGTCTTCATTAAGCCCTAATTAACTTTCTTTCTTAATTCCTTTTGGGTTTTGTTAATTTCCCCTAATTGATGAACTTATTATCAACAACGGCTGAGAACTGGAAGAGAAGAGTACAGGACACAAATCAAGTCAATGATAAAAGTTTCTGAGAATCTATACGAGCATTTAGGAGAATATGGATTTATTACACAATACTTTAAAAGATATAAGATTATATAAATTAGATTTTATCAGATATATATACAGTGAGGTGAAACAAGTATTTGGACAGTAAACAAAATGGATTTAGAATCATATATTGAAAGATAAACATTATCTAAAGCTCACAATATATTCGTAAAACAATTATAAATGCAAATAAACAGCAAAAATAAATTTTTTGACACGTATATATATTTTATATACACATTATTAAAACAGGTAGTGAAAAAAGTATTTGGACAGAATATAAATTATCCTTTAAATATGTTTAATATTTAATTGGTCTTCCTTCATTTACAACCACAGCACGCAGCTCTTCCTGTAGCTCTCTATAAGCGCCTGGCATGATTTGGTGGGAATTTTAACCCACTCTTCTTCTGCAAAAACTTTCAATTCGCTGAGGTTCTTTGGTCGCCTTTCACAAATCTGATTCTTCAGTATTCTCCAAAGATTCTCTATTGGATTCATGTCCGGCGATTGGCTGGGCCATGTCAACACGTTGATGTTATTGTTTTGAAGCCATGCACGTGTTGCTTTGGCTGTATGTTTCGCATCATTGTCCTGTTGAAAAACCCAATCTGGTCCAAGTTCTAATTTCTCAACAGATGACTGCAAGCAATCTTCTAAAATATGAATATATTTGTGCCCTCAATAATTTTAAGTTGTCCCGTACCATTATATGAAGCATCCCCAAATCATAATGCTACCGCCTCCGTGCTTCACAGTGGGGATGGTGTTCTTTTGATTGAAGGCTGTTCCATCCTTTCTCCAAACATGTGTAGCATCGTTGTGGCCATAAAGTTCAATCTTGCTTTCATCAGACAATAGAATTTGCTTATAATATTCATCATGCTTTTGTAAATTAGTTTTGGCAAATTCAAGTCTGGATTTTAAATGAAGTTTTTTTTTTTTTTAGCAATGGGGTTTTGCG